AAGCGACCTCGCAGAAGCGAGGTTTAGACCGCAGAAGCGGTCCAGGCCCTCTTGGCCTTTTCCGCAAAAGCGGCTCACTTCCGCAGAAGCGGAACTCGCAGAAGCGGGATTCTTTCCGCAGAAGCGGAAATCACTGGGGGCAGAAGGGTTCATTAATACGAACCCAAACTCATTTCTCTCATTTCTCACTACACACTTGGGCGATTTTGGGGGTTTCAAAGAGAGAGTTTTCACATATCATTGCAAGGTAAGTAATTCCCACCCACTTTTAGTTCAAATACATAAACATTAGGTAGATTTAACACTAAACTTAGGTAAAAATCAAGAGATTAGAGTTAGACCTAGGGTTTTGTCAAAACTAAGATTTAATCCTATAATTTATCATGAAATGAACTAGAAATCACATATTTGTGATCCTTAGGTGATAGAGAACAACTTCCTTCGAAAAATCTTGGAGTCCGGGTATGTGGGCCCGGGGTCGGAATTTAGGAAACTTGTGTTTATGGTTAGGAAATTGTTTAAATAGTTAGAATTTAACCTTGTAAGCCTTATTGACTAGTTCTTGCTTATTTTAATTAGTTGGTGCTCGTTTGGCGACGAATTGAGGGTTTGGGACTATTCTTGATATCGGAAGTGCACTTCGTAGCGAGGTGAGTCTCCTTTCTAACCTCGTAAGAGGGAATTGTCCCCTTATGATTAATGTTTGAGTGTTTGTTGCTAAATGCGGGGACTACGCACGCGTTAGGTGACGAGAGCTCGTGCGTAGCTACTACTATGATAAATGTCCGGGTAGCTTAGGACCTACAACGTGCCTATTAAATATATCTCTTATGTTAAATCGTTGTTATGAACACCTAGAGTGTACTAGAGACTTAAAAGGGGATAGGAGCATACTTGTATAGTTAATTAAGTTTGATTTGGTATTCTTGACCATTTATGTGCATGTGTGTGAACTTGATATTTCATCCTTATTTGTGGATCAGGACGATCGCCTCGGTATGAATAGATGCATCTATAGGCGCGCCGTCGACCCTCGGCAAGTGCATAGTCTATTTCTGTTGGATCGGGCCGTCGCCTCGGTATTATGTGCGCATGTTTATTGTGGAAAAGCCTATACATGCTTTATTTTGCCATTGTCTCATATGATAAATTATAAACTTGATGCTGTAAAGTTCTTGACTTATAC